GTCCTTCAGCTACAAAAGTGCAATTGGTGAAAATTTTGTAGCTCTTAAAGATTCGGACCTATGGATTTATGAAAATGAGTCTCCAAGCCAAAAAACTTGCCATTCTCAAATGTTCGATCACTTGTATTATCGAAAATATGCAAATAAAAAAAAATTCCTCGGACACGTATCTCTTTTTTTTCGACATAGAATCCGTAAAAAAAGTTTCAGTCAAATCGAAGAGGTGTCGATCAGACAGGTGTTCGATTTGTAAAAGAATTACCCATATACATAAAATAAATTAAATAAGCCTAGTTATATATAAGAATAAAAAATAAATTTGAAAAAATTTCAATAAGAAGGAGCTCGATATTTATATCTAAAATAATTCTATATCTTAATCAACTTAATTAAATTTTTCAAATTTTTTATGACTAACTGATTGCCAAGACAATTATTATTCCATTTTTTACCATGGAATTCATTACAGTATGGATTTTCAATTAAAAATTTTATTAACTCATTAATAATTTTGCTATATTGGACTTCAAATAGGTTTTATTACTAATAAAAACTAATATCTTTGACTTACTTGAATAATTGATCACATTACACTGTTTATTTGCATGCGGTTGCAATGTCCTGCAGGTACAATGTATTATGTAGCTAAGAAATAATCGAATAATTAAGTATTAGTATACAAATTTGTATATTTATTATACGCCGAAGACTATACTGAAAAAATTGGTACGCATAACTCGAGAATGATTTTTCTTGCTGCTATAATTTTCACACATATTATTTTTATATTTGATTTCTTCGAAGCATTTTCTTTGAAGCAATGCAGTTTTGAATAAAGATTCTATATCTGCAAGCATTGATTGAAGGAATCCTCTTACAGGAAATTCATGTTCGAACTCTATTCAAGATTCGACGATCCATCAAAATTAACGATCATGGCTAATCACAATTTCATAAATAACGAGCGACCCTCGATAGTACGTTGCCCTTTTACGCAGGGAAAAGCAAAAGTAAGGCAGTCCGGCAAATCGATTCTTATCGTGTGAAGTTCAACGACCTCAAGCTTATACACCTCGCTTTCGAGCTTAAAGAGTGACGAGCGGACATTAAGTTCGCCCACATTAAGCCCCGCATTCGCTAGAATTACTCAGCACAAATCTGATTTCGCAATTTAATCGTAGTTGTTGCTCCAAATAAATATCTCGTGTTTGAATTGACTTTAAAACTAAGAAATTTAGCGAAACAATTTAACTTATTTTTTCTAATTTTTAACAAACATTTTTAAAAATTATTTGAAAAATGGAGTAAACTAAATTTTTATTGATTTCGACTCTTTTTTAGTTATGTAAAGTTGCAATTTTAATTGCAAGTATTCCTCAAATTATTTATTAGTACTTCTACATAGAATGTATGCAATAAGAACAATCTTGATCATAACTAAGTACAAAGCAACCTCAATTTACTTTTTTTTTCTTGGAAAAGATTGTAAAATCCAAAAGAAAACTAACAAGAAATTAAAATTGTTATAAAAATAATAATTTTTTATTAAATCTGTTTTTAATTTATTTTTCGTACCACAAAGAAACGATTTTGCTAAAATATTTAAGAACTTATGTTGTAGACCTGAAAATAATTTTTTTAGACTATCAAAATAATTAATAAATGTAGAAAATTTAAGTATGATCAGCAATGCTGCAAAAAGTTTTTAAATTATTTATAACCAACTTTAGCATTCTATTTATTTTAGTCCAACAAAGTTATATTCAGATCTGTATACATATATCTATTTAAATTTTTTTAGATACTTCGACAAAACGTTCTACATCTAGAACATTTACGATTTATGAGGATGTTTTATATTTTTAACTAAGGCTGTAAACGGATATAATAAATTAATTGCATATAGGTATTGCATATACGTGTATTTAACCAGAGTATTTAATTTTTAAAGAAAAATTTTGTCATGCACCCGCTCATATCGGCTTTCATTATGTACATATATATAAACGGATAAAAATAGGAATCAGATCGTGCATGATGTATGCGTCCCGCCTCGGGCAGGTACGACAATAATATTCAAGCACAATATGTATACATATAAAACCCGACGGAACACAATTTCTTCCTTTATGAAAGTCGGAACCCTCGCACCGGTCACGCAAACCTGCCTTCCATTCGCTGCCGAAGGCATCTCATCCTTATCGTCTCGCCATTGTAGGAACAACAACAGCGTGACTTCGGTGTGGAGGGATCGCGATACCAGTCACAGAGAGCGCAAAAACTGGAACACCATTGCCATCGATCCAACGAGCATTACGAGAATCAAAAAGAGACTCGACATTACGGCTCGCCGGGCGAGGAACGCGAAGGCGAAACTTCCGGTTACGCCAGCGATTCCGTGGATGTACCGCAGGCAGGGCAAAGTGAGTCCTTCTAAATTATACTCTGTAAATTTCATATGATTTGAATGAATTTCAGAAATAATACGCTGATACGTGTTGACTAATAAAACCAGAACAAATTTTTTATAATAGAAAACCTTGCTCCATAAAATAAAAAATTTTTATAATTTTTCAGCATTTTTATGTAAATTTTATAATTTTGTAGAATTTTTGAACAGTTGTATTATAATATTTTTTAGAAATTTCTCAAATTTTTTATACAGATTGAAACATTTTTCAGAAATATTGAAACACATATTTTCTAGAATTCTCCATATACGCATATGTAAATCCTAAAATATTTTAAGATTTCTAAGATTTTTTATTCTATAATTTCTGATAAAATCTTATAACATATGAAATAGACAATTCGGCATAATAATTCGATATTAAAATATTAATTTTTTTCAGAAATTATACACAATAAAATATATTAAAAACTTTAAAATACTTCAAACTTCATATATATATAAAATTCTAAAAGATTTAGATTTTCTCAGTATTTTTAAAGTGTTCCAATTCGTAAAAATTATGAGAAAAAGTTCACAAGACATCCTAATGAATATAGTAAGAGATTAAACAAAAATGGATATTGAAAATGAATTTCTACAAATGGCATTAATTCTATAGAATATATCTTTTAACTATTGTCCTTAGCAACAATAATGAATTTTCCATATTTTTTTTTTACTTAAGGAGCTCTGCCTAATAAAGCAGCGATCAGGATGGAAATGACGGAAAAAACATGGCAAAATCCTTACTGCACTACGCCGGAAAGTTCACTGCCTCCATCGAGAAGACTTTCACCAGGCAGAATGGGTGAACTCAACAGGCCAAGGTGGGGCAGTGTCTGGGATCAAGATGCAGCTAGAGGTGATCCACCGCCGCCTTCTTGGCTATCAAGATTAGGACAGTCGAGCCAAGTAATGTTTACTAGAACTTTAATAATCTATTAAATTATCTACAAAAAAATTTTTGAGCATCTTCAAAAATCTAAGATTAAAAATTATTCAAGAGCATTTGTTTCATCTATCCCACAGTATTTATTAAATCAAATACTCTCTTTATCAAGGTCCTGGTGATCAACCACGACAGCGCCAGCAGCCCGGACAGTTCAACGACTGGCTCAACCGGCTCCGATATCAATAAAGTATCTTATCTTCGGGGTCAAAATATTCCTATGGACACAGAGATCCTTCAAGAACGCGAAATGAAACGTCAGAAAGCACTGGAGCTTCAAAACGCCATCAAACAGCAACTCGAGGAAAAGGACAGACAAAGAAAAGAAGAGAAAGAGCGGCGGATGAGAGAAGAGATGTTGGAAGAAGAACGAATCCGGCGAGAAAGAGAAAGGGATAAAGTAAGGTAAAATAAATATAAAATATCAGGAAAGTAAAAACCAATTCTAGGACGGAGAGAAGAATAAAAAGATTCTCATATTGTCTCATAATATATAAGTTAGGATCGGGTATTATGAGCACTACAAATAATATGAGCACCCTTTATATTTCTGTGGTTGATACTAGTAGTGCCAACTGTTGCAAGAAGATGCATCTGCCTTCGCGACATTCCAATATGCTGCGCAGTTTTTAAATTTATTACTTTGGATATTTATCATATTAAATAAGTAGGGACGTTATTTCTTATTTTTTACGTTTTTTCCTCTAACTTCATAAGGTCCCCAATCTATAATACATTGAGATAAGATATTTTGTTCTGCATGTTAATATTTTTTAAGTAAACCATATTAAGCCATTTTAACTTCATAAAGTCCCGAAATCATTATTGATTTATTAGACATGGGAATTTTTCGGATAGGTATGCATGGTTATGTATTATGAGTATCTTTATTATTCCTTATTAAAAAAAGGGTCTTATTGGGGTCAATTATGGGGTAATCAGTGTACATTTCATTAGAAATATATTGCGACAGTACAGTAATAAAACAGATAATGCCAGCATTAGCAATACTAGCAATATATAATATTATAGTACATAACAATACATTAATAATACTTGGCAATATTGCGCGCAATACATAAGATATATAACAATATTAGGTGGCAATACATAAGATAACAATATTAACAATATAATAGCAATGCTAGCAATAAAGTGTGTTGTATTGCCGTAATTAGCAATCATTGTACATTAGTGTACTCGTATATTTTTTTAGCCAGTGATTAACTCCATTAAAATTTAGTAATAGCTATTAAATATACAATATAATGAAATAATGGCAATTAAATGTTTGGTTAATATAACCAAAACTAATGTTACTTTTACAAATATTTAATAAGTATTATCAAATTGTTACTATTTGGTAATGCTTACTAAATATTTGTTAATGTAACATTTTTTTGTTACATTAATCAAACATTTGATTGGCATTTCTGGTGGAAAAATTTTGCTGAAATTATTTCACATTTTGGAATACTTTTTAGCAAAATTTCAGCATTTTACAAAAATTTCAGTGATTTTTAGCTGAAAAATAAATTTTCAGCAAATTTTCAGTAAATATTTTAGAGAAATTTCAACAAAATTTCAGAGAAATTTTAATTCAAGTTCAAAGAAATTTCAGTGATTTTTCAATATATTATCTGAAAAATTCACTTTTAGTAATAGATAAATTTATAGATAATAGAGAAATTTCAACAAATTTTCAGCAATTTCGCTGAAATGTTTCAAAACTTAGAATAATTTCAACAAAATTTTTTCATCAGAAATTTGTTTTAATAAAATGTTATATATAATATATATATATATATAAAACATTTATATATGTTATTAAAATAAA